TTTGGCCTGCAGGGCAGAAGAGTGGGGTTTTCATGTCCTCCCACTTCCCAAAAATCCCACATTTGCAGTTACCTCTCCAGGAGCCAGAAGAGGCTTTGCAGAGGCTGGGGGCAGAGGTGGTAAACAGAGCATTGCGGCACCCTAGAGCAAAGGAGAATCAAAGAGTTGCTGCCTTGACTTGAAGGAGAGAGGGAGGCCAGTGGCCACAGAAATACCTGGAGAGCTTTTGTCCGTGGCTACCACAGTCACAGGCACTGACAACTGACAGCAAGCCAGGAATAGGCTTGACAGGCTGATTTCTGTGGTAGTTTTACCCAGGGACCTCTGCTGCTGTATAGCACGCCAAGACAATGCCATTCAACACCTTCATCAGCAATATAGAGGATCACACAAACACCCAGGGGAACGGGGGGGGGGGGGGGGTGGAGGGCGTGTTACAAAACAAGGAAAGGAGCTGGCAGCAAATGGCAGAGCCATGGGCCAGAGAGCTCAGGACACCAGGCAGCAGAAACCTCCCCCCCCCCTCCAACCCCGGTGTCCAGCAAGAAGAGGTGGCCAGTACTGCCCTGGGGCAACCCAGCCTCTGGCTCAGGGTAGGAAGGGCCAGGTGACAGTGGAAACATGGCAAACCATGTCCCGAGCTGTGCAAGATGGATATGGAGACCCTGGCAAGGCCCCACGGAGGCTGCCAAGCTGGTCAGGGCCTGACCCACGAGGAGATGGGAGAGATCTGGGCTTTCCCGGTCTGGCCACGAGGAAGCCAGGAGGTCTGCGAGAAGACCCCTGTCTGCAGGAAGGACAGACTACCCCCACATAAAGAAACACGCCTTAGCGGCAGAGCTGAGACAGGCACCAGCCTCCCACTAGCACTTGGCTGGTTCAAGCTTGGCTAAGAGTAACTTTTGGATGCACCGGGTACTATGCAGGGATGGGTGGTTACCTGCGAAGGCCGGCCAGGAGAGGCTGGAGACATCATCTGAGTGACTGGCACAGGATGCTACAGGGTCAGCAAAAACAAGGATGAGACCTTGCATTCCCTAAGGCACCATGAAGGTGCGCTCTCTCTCGTGCCACTTGCTGCAGGCTGCCTGTGGCACAGCCACCCAGGTCCGCTCTGCTCTCCTACCTCTGGGGCTGGGCGGCTGGGCCTAATGGATTGGGCACCCTGCAGGGCAGACGTTGTGCTGAGCAGGCTGGGGCTGCCAATGTCATGCTGGGACAACTCATTGTGCATGGGCCGCTTCCTGCCACCTTCCTGGAAGAGTGGGTTGGTGAGGCCACGGGCAGGACTGGTGGAGATTCGCCTGCAATGCAAAAGGCCAACATGGGATCAGTAGCTTTGCCCAGCCTCAGGCATGGCCCATAGAGCCCCCATGGCGAAAGCCCCCTATCATCTACCTCAGAAAGGCAGACGGAGTCTGGAGACTTACCCTTTCTGGAAGTACCTCTTCCCACCGCCTCTGACAAGCACGAAGCCTCCACCAAGCAGGATGCCGGTGACTGCCAACACAGCCAGCACAGCTGCCACGACCAGGCTGCTGCTCCCTATAAAGACCCAGCAGGCATGAGAACAGGCACCCCCAGTGCTGAGCACACACCGCGCTGGGACAACGAGGTGCCTGTGGGCACCTAGGGCAATGGACTGACCTCCACCTCTAAGCTCTTGCCTACCTCCCAGTCCCACCATGTGCACCAGGAAGCTTTGCCTGCTGGCTATGCATGTGGGGTGCCATACCTGTGGTGATCTCTGAAATCTTCTGCTCACAGTATGGTGCTGCCCATCCTGGTTCACAGTGACACTCCCGCTTGTGATTGCAAACCTGAGATCAGAGAGGGCAAAGTCAGAGCACACGTGCAAACCGCCTGCGTGTGCCGTAGAAGCTGGGGCGGCTGTCCGAGCTTTATGCCTTCTTTTGAAGACAATGACTGCTGCGAGCTGTGGCTGCAGGGAGCAGGGAGGCATGACCCATGAAATGACACAGCCCAGACCCACTCACACTCCTACCACCAAGCACAAGTGACCTGCATCAGCCCCAAATTCAGCTGGGTGTCTCCTACCCTCACACTACATTCATCCAGGGAAGAGTGGCTGGATACTCACAAACAGGAGTGATACAGGAGCATTTTAGAGGGCTGAGCATACCCCATGGTTGTTGCATTTTGCAGAGCAGTTCTTGTTGCCATAGACCAGGACGTTCTGGCAGCGTCCAGCATAGCAGACCTGGAAGAAGGCAGAGGGCTCTAAGAGCAGAGCAAGCCGCCTCCCGGGGACAGGTCCCCCACCATTGGGTACCACATCCAGCCAGGGTGTTTTTCCAGCCGCTCCAGCAGGCCAGGCTGCACACTCACCATTTCCTCCCCGCACTTGGTGCCTGTGGGCACCAGCCTGTGGTCGGCCACCATCCCACTGGCATCGTTATCTGTGATAGCTGCTTTGCATTTGAAGCGGCCAAATGAGAGGGAGTATGAGCCTCCGCCGATGACAGGGCTGGTGTTCTCACTCAGACACAGCAGCGTGCCGCACTTTACATCCCTGCGAGAAGAGGCAGAAGCAGCTGTTAATGCAGGGAGCACCAGCCACCAGCCCAGGCTCTCATCTGGAGCACAAGAGAGGCAGCAAGGGCTGGAGACCTTGCTCCAGCCCCCCAGGGCCATCACCAGACTTACTTGGGGCTGCAGGGCCTCTTCCCCGACTCAGTGAGGCAGTGGAGGTACATGTTTTGCTCACTGTTGTGCTTAAAGCAGATGTCAGGAGCCACCTGGGCTGCTACAGGACACAGAACAAAGGATCATGCAGAGCCACAGCCTGCAGAAAGCCAGCAACAGCCAGTGCAAAACCACACGGCTCAGCATCAACATGAGAGCAGAAGACACCTTCCACCCCTGGTCTCAAGATCTGCTTGACCCCACAGCCACTCTCCCAGCCAGGGCCACCTTCCCAAAGTGGGCAGACAGCAGCCCTAACATCTCCATTAGTTACGTGAGAGCCAGCCAGCCATGGGATCGGCCTGCAGTGGAGAAATCAGCTCTGGGCATGACTGCCCCTCTCCCTGTGCATGGGGCAATGAGGGTAGGCAGTGGGAGGGTGCATCGTGCATTACCTGCTCCCCAGAGCACACGGCACTGCTCGCCGTGTGAAGGGCAGGCCCCGTTGTAGCAGTAACCGTTCCCGTTCTGGCACGGGATGCCGTTCTCCTGGAAGACATCTTCTGGGCACTCAGGGCTGAGGCCAGTACAATGCTCAGGCAGGTCACAGCCGTTCTTGCTGGCCCGGCACAGCATGCCAGCAGCCTTCACCTGCACAAAAACCAGGAAGTCAGTGCCACCTCAACTCTGCACCACATTCCAGCCCGATTCAGCCTGCACCTGGGTCTGCCTTGAGTGCAAATCATCCTCCAGCACCCCCAGAGAGGATGATTCGGGCATGGCAGCTGGTGGCGAAACCAGATGAAAGCCTTCGCACAAAAACATTTGCTATTGACTGAGCTACTGCACAGGATGGAGATGCCTCCAGGCCTCAGACAAGCTGTCCTTGTGTTTAGGGACCTCCCTGCTCAAAACACCTTGTGCTTTACGTTCAGTCTGGATTTGCCCTTGTTCCTCTTACAGCCTTGTCCGGTCAAGTCAAAGCATTTCCCACATCTGTGCTTAGAAACTAATGCACATATCTCTTAACTTCCTCTTTTACAAGTGAAACAGAACAAGCAGGTAGGTGTCCCAGACCAAAAGTGAGTCATCCATAGCTTTTCTGAACACGTCCCCATTTTCCAACTTCTTTTACCCTGCTCCAGACCAAACAGAGTTGAGGTATCTGGACTCAAGGATGCCAGAAACAGAAGCTACCTCATCTTCTGCTGCACAGTAACGGCCACCCAGAATGGTGACTGTCGGTGTAGCAAGAGCATCAAAAGGAAGAGTGACGTTCCCCCAAAACGGGTGGGTGCTTTTGGCCTTGGACAAGATGCTGGTGGTGGGGAGGGGAAGCTCCATCCTTGGGTAATTTCACGCCTCAGCTGGAGAAAGCAACAGCCCCACTGATCTGGTGTTGGCAATGGTTGATCCCTTCTCATCAGCGCTTCTGTGATGTTCTAACTAACTACCATATTTTCTCTCTTGCATCTCTACCTGATCAGATTACAAAATAGCATTTCTGCACTGGATCACAATCTGGTTACAAGCCCAGGGAAAGAGATGATTTTGCAGATGAGACTCCAGCTGGAGAGCAGCATGGTCTTCTGCAGCTCTCCAGGGCTCATGAGGTCCTTCAGGCTCTCCATCAGGCTATGGATACGCATTGCCTCTATCAGGGAGCTCCAGGCAGGACCTGTCAGCTCCCTTTTCCTTGCCAAACTCATCCCCTTTCCCACAACGGGAGCCAGAGATACCTTGCAGTCCTGGCAGCATGCTCCACGGGCACACTCGGCTCCCTCTCTCAGCTGGCAGGTGGTGGCATTGCAGCAGCGATCGGTGCACTCCTGCAAGGCAGGAAGGGACAGGGACCAGCAACTGTTAGCACTGTCTGGGCTCGGTGCAGCTCTCCCACCCTTCCATGGGCCGCTCACATGGACAGCAAATAGCTTAAATTTCACACTGTTGGGCAATGAAACTGGGGCTGCTCAGTCAGGCATTGAACTCTGAGTTCAATGGCCCTTCAGCACTAGATGGGAACAAGTCCCTGGAGGAATCAGCCATGACTACAGAAGTAAGATCTAATGGCTGTTTGGTTTTGGTATGGGAATCACCCAAGAGCCTGTTTCCAAGGAAACCTCATTAAAACAGACCTGTTCTTGAGACGAAACCAAAAAGGACCTGTTTTGGTTCTGTTTTTGAGACAACAGAGCCAGGCAGTCTGCAAAGGTGCTGCAGAAAGAGGAACTGCATGTGGATCAGGCCTTCTGTAGCCACAAGACTAACAAGTATTGACCTTGCTTTAGCTGCAAGCTCCTGAGAGAAAACCCCATTGCCACAAATCCATGCTGCAGGGAGAGCAGGAAGAATCTCCTGAAAGAGGAAGTGACTGAAACCATCTTGCAGCTCTCCTGAAAGTCCCTTTCCTTCTTCATTTTTCAGGGGGACCCATCATCTGATAGAGATGGCAGTGTGGAAGCTGTGGGCATGAAATGGCTCCAGATTGAACCACGGGGCAAAGACACAGCATCTTCCCAGTCCCTAACTCAGCAGTGTTGTATCACTGACGCTCTGGGGGACCCTGCACTATATCAGGGACGAGAATACTGTGTGTCCATGTTGCTGTCACCTTTTCATTTGGGAAATGAAGAGGTGCAAATTGCAGCTCTTCCTCTGGGACACGTTTGGGTGATGGAGGGGAAAGGGCTCTCTATTTTACTTCTTTCTAATGTACACTTTCAAATGCAAACATGGCCATGCCAGACTCCAGGTGTAAACTGTTCCTGCAGCCTCTTTAACCCATTTATGAACATCAAAATGAAGGACTACACAGGATTTTCAGAAGAAGTAGGTTTTGGGGGTAAACAGGCCCCATGGGCCCTGGTCTTTGGAAACACCTTTTGGAAATCTCCAAGAAGGGAAAAAACATGAGGTGTTCTGTGCCTAGCCGCATTGGGAGAGAAACAGCTTCCCTCATTCAGACCCCCCCAGAGCAGAGCTGTAACTGAGGGATTTATCCCAGAGAAATCACCTGGCAGTTCGTCTCAACTCTTCCTCTCACCATGCAATGATGGGCCTCAGGTTTGGTGCTTCTAGTGGTGAGGAAAAGCTGAGCATGGCTTTTGAAAGAATGGCATGCCATGATGACCCCCTTCCTGGGATCACCTTTTGTCAGAGGATATGCTGGGGGATGTCTTCCCAGCTATAGTCTTCCTAGAAACTCCCCTACTAAAATCACAGCCAGCTACACGCAGCCAGCACATCTCAAAGTTATCAAATATCTTCCACAAGACATCTTTTGGTAGGACCATAAGGAAGAACTATTCCTCAGGTCTTGCAGTTCCCTATGTACAGAGAAAATGCTTGCACAAGCCTCATTGAGTCTGAATGATAGGGTTTAGGGTTCCTGTCCCTGCTGCACTCCTTTGTTTCCAACCTCTCAATAAGAGTGACTGTACCTCCGGCGTGCCGCAGTCGCACTGCTCTCCTCGCTCTACAAACTGGTTCCCACACACAGGCCCGCCATACAGCTCATCGGCCTTGGGGACATTCAGCAAGCAGCTGGTCCTGGGGTCTCCAAGGAACTGCCACATGTCGTGTTCACTGCAGCTGCTGAAGAGCTTGGGGTAAACCAAGCTTGGGGGAAGAAAAATAGGTGGTCACAAGCAGAGATAAGAGCCGTAGGGCCTTTGCAGTCATCATCCCAGAGAGCAACTGGAGAAACCCTCTCCAGATCCAAGTGTTGATTATTGAAGTGGTGAATGTTGACCTCGCCCCAAATGTGTCAAGAACTTCGCCCCAGGTCCTACTGGGACAGTGCAGGGAAATACTTAGAGAAATTCACTACCCAGGGATATTCCCCTTTCTCCTTCACTCACCCAACACTTGCTGCCATAACACATCCTCCATCACTTTTGGGGACAGGACAGCGGCAGCTAGCAATGTCTTCATCATGAGACATCCCCAGGTTGTGCCCCATCTCGTGAGCCATGGTGGATGCAGCACCAATAGGATTCACACTGTGGTCCTGTGGAACAAGAAGTGAATGAGATTCAAATGCCTCCTTTCCATAGCATCTCTGAGAGGCCCATTGCTGCTTTTTAAAATTCGGTGCCAGGACTTGCTGCTGTCTGTAATTCATCCCCTAACGCTACCATGCTAGTATAAATGAGGATGGAAGCTGGGCCTGGTCCCACAGTCTCTGAAGACCTCCAGGCTGGGCTTTCAGGGGTGTAAGTCAACACACATATATATATATATATATGTGTGTGTGTGTGTGTGTGTGTGTGTATATGTATGTGTATGTATATGTATATGCATATATATGCATATACATATATAGTGGCTACCCTGAAATTAAGCTTTTGTGGTGGTTCTGGACAGCCACAGGTCCTCCAGCCAACAGCTTATGTCCTAGCAAAGGATGCCATCCCTGGGGAGCGATGGAGCTGCTGAGCAGCACAGTCAGGATGCCTGAAGAGCGATTGCAAATCATTTCCCAACCATCTGAAAGGCAATGGGAAGATCCCCATGTCTATGGATTATCTTTGGGAGGCGCGCCTTATGGCTCAGGTATATCAGAGGCCTGCACATTGCAGGTGCCCAGTTGTGTTTCCACAACCACCCTTTCCCCAAGGCCATGACAACACATCTCTCAGACTCAGTCTCTCAAGGTTCAGAGATGCCAGGGGCAGGATTTAGGTCTTCTGAGCCAGCCCTAAGACTGTGGATGAAGAAAGCTGGAGACAAGTGGAGGTGAGACCTGCCTTGGAAAAAAAGAAAAAAAAAAAAAAAGCAGGGAATGCAGATCTGCAGATTTGTTAGGCAGAGCCCAGTACCTCTGACCACACATTTGCCCCTGCCTGATCATGGGATCACTGCTGCCATCATGGAGCATGGCCCGGCAGTGCGACCTACCTGGTTGACACCGCCTGAGTCCCTGGTGCACATCGCAAGCTTCTTCGCGAGGCCTACAGTTGTGCCATGGAAGTCTATGCCCCTGTGGGAAGCAGATATGCCCATGAACGCATGACCCACATGCTAACAGGGGCAAGAGGAAGAAAAGGCGCTCGGGTGCCCAGGGACCGTGAGGGTGGACCAAGTCCTGTCTGATCCCCTTACGTGATCAGCTGGGCATTGTCATGCTTCTTCTTCTTCAGCAGTTCTGTCTCACGCCAATGGAGGAAGTTGTCCAGAGTCACTTCTGGGTTGGGACTCACAGTGATTTTGTCCTTGTTGTTCCACACCTCCAAGCCGATCAAAGCCACACGCAGGTGAAGAGGCTGATAAAGCTGAGATGGGAGACGCCCCAGAGAGAGCACTTGGATTTAAGCTGCACAGCAGAGGAAAGGTCCCATCTGCCCCGGGGAGCTGATTCAAGCCCAAGCTCACCTAGTCGTGCAATACCAGTCTGACACCCTAGGGCCCTGCCACAAAACAACAGGAGCATGGGTGACCAAGCAGAGAGGGTTTACCCAGGAGTGCCCTCTCCTGCTGGCAATGGCCCCCTGGGGCAGCTGGTGCTGTCCTTCCTCTGCTGCCACAGTGACTGCAGGGGCAGTTCCCATGCTGCCTATAGGACAGCAAGGCTAAAGCAATGAGAGCAGAAAGCTCAGTCATTCACTTGCAGAGACCTCGCTTGTGCTGGCACGCACTCCAGCTCACAGGTTGTGATGGGGGGCTTGCTGCCCAGTGGTTACAAGAAGAATTTTCTCCCTGTTCCCTTATGAAGATGCTTAACAGAGAGCTCAGAGGCAGCCTTCACTTGCCCTTGAGGACCCATTGGAGACCCGACTTCCTTTTAATATCTGCTTTGCACACTTTGTTGGCCAATGGATTTGGTCATCATCTGGTAGCCCACCTAATGAGCTTGACATTCGCTCCAGCTCCACTCTTTAACCTGCTCTACTCTCTCCTCTTCTCTCCACTGCCACATTCACGGACTATGTTTTTCACTTCCACAGCAGGAAGCCTTCCCCTGGAGGGATCAGGAACCTTGCTGACACTGTGGCGTCTGTGCGCATACAAGGAGGGCAGATCAGGCCCCCCGAACTCACCTTGTCAACGTGGTTCACAATTTCCTTCATGCGATTCTGCACCATGCGCAAGTCCTTGTACTTCCGGAACTGTGGGAAGGAAATTGAGAGATTTCCAGGTTGCCATCCACCTTCCTGCCACAGTGGAAGAGAATGAAAACACAAGAATCGGCTCACCCTCCCTTACCTCCTCATTGTCCACAACCAAGACCAGCTCCACATACCGAGGCCCTTTGTGTAATGGAGCTGATTTCTGAAAAGGAAGAGGAAAATGAATGGAAAGAGGAGCTCTGCAGCTCACCATTCCATGGATTTGTTGGATCCTGGGGCATCTTCTTATCTTATTCAGGGTTAGTAGCTCTCCTAGCTCTGTTTTCTGATGTTATTTTGCTGGGTCTTTCAGCAAAATGTTGTATCTTCCAACATAGAAAGGAGATCCCTCAGCCTGCTACTGCTGCAGGCACTAGAGAGGTTCTGCAGGTGTCAGCGGCTTACGGGGAGCACCTACACGGGGTGGC